TCACAACATGACTGGGACACAATCAAAACATGATCGGGACACCATCACAACATGACCGCGCCACCATCACATGATCGGGACACCATCAAAACATGACCGGGACACCGTCACAACACGACCATCACAACATGACCGGGACACCATCACATGACCGGGACACCATCAAAACATGACCGGGACACCATCACAACATGACCGGGACACCATCAAAACATGACTGGGTCACAATCACAACATGACCGGGACACCATCCGCCCACCAGCTCTGACGCTGACCCGACGGCGCCCGTCCGCCTATTAGTTTTGCAAGACCCCATAGCATGGGTATTGGGGAATGAACACCCCCCATCATGAAGAGTTGTTGATCCTTCCAAATTGGAAGGCATCTCTCTCAAATCGATCCGAGTCGACCTGATGTAGTCTCGCACACCTCACTCCCCCCCGCCGGACCGGAGATCAGCGGCTTCAGCGGCTGAAGCCTCGCCTTGAGGATGGATCCACAGCGCTCGGGCTGCAGGTCGTACTCCACATAGCCTCACCGGTCGGACCCCTCCGGTCGCACCGCTCCGGTCGCGACCGAGAAGAAGGGGTCGACCAGGGTCGAAGCGTATTGGTTTCGGAAGGCCCCCCGGCAGGTCTGAGCGCGGCATGAGGCTTCAAGAGGGAAACCCAGAACCCAATCAACCGAAGGTGTTGAGCCGATGTCCCTTCCTTTGAGACATTCTCTGCCAGCAGTCATAGGTAGGATAGTGGTGCCGAACGAACGGAAGTCGGGGTGCTCCTGTCACATCCACAGCCCCTGGATGGGACTAAAAACATCTCAAAACCACCCCGTACTTGTGACTTCTGGTGAAAGATCTCCCTATTTCAAGACACGCCCATCAAATGGCTGGCCCGTCCTGGTAGCTGATGATTTCCACGTCCCATCGGCCAGTCGTTGGAGGGTCGTCGGAGGTTCGTTGGAGGTGGGGTTATTTCGTGGGTTGGTGGCTCTGTGAGTGTCTGCGTCATTCACTGTGCCGCGTGTCAGCTCCAGATAGAGGTTTTGGTGTTCAGAAAGGGGGGAAGAGCATGACCTCATGTGCCCCCCAAGTTGTTTCTTTAAAAAACATGCAACACTCGGCGACGATCGGTTGATTTCATGACTGACCCCCCAAAAGCCGATATAAGCTCCCCCAAAAAAGAACATCATAAACTTGCAAAACAGACCAGGAGTCACGAGTACGGGGTGGTGTGGCTCGTCCCATCCAGGACCTGTGGATGTGACATGTTCGCGCCCCGACTTCCTCCGACCCCCCCGAGCTCTGTGACTGCTGGAGCGAACCCCCATTCGGCCGAGCTGCAGAAGGCCCTCTCCTTCGCAAAGCTTCGGGCCTCTGACGGCCTCTGCCGGACCAGCGCCTCGCTCGGCTTCGCTCCGCAGGTGGGGCGGGCTCGACCGGTGGGCCGTGGGCGGCCTGAAGAAGGAGGACCCTATATTGACCTGGGGTGCCGAAAGATGGGATAGTCGAACAGTAAATATGATCGAACAGTCGAACCCTAGGTGCTTAAGAGGACCCTAGTACTATGGGGTCCTGGGGTGCTAGATATAGTCGAACTAAGTCGGGTTCTGACAAATCTTTGTTGGTGGTCTTGCAAAATGAGATGGGATTGAGGACAGAAGTGGACCGGATGACCGGTCGGGGTGGTGAGGCTTGACATGGTCGTCAGGTCAAACAACTGTTCATGTTGGGGTGCAGGGGCCACAACTACATGTCTTAAGACCTTTTCATGTCGTTTGGGGAAGGTCACTTGGACCCAACTACCTCGAGAAGACAGGGGTCGAAACCCTCACAAACCGCCCTTTGTACCCGCAAAAGCCTGTCCAAATTCTTTAAGGCTGTCCCAGTTGTGCTCTCCACATATTCCTTTTCCCTGCCCCCAGCACCAGGGGGGCGCTCAGTGGCTCAATTGAATTCAAGCTGCAAGGGCTCGTTCTGCAAAGCCAGCGTCGCTGGGCCGCAGAACTCCCAGCTTGCTGAGCCTGGGATCTAGCAATCTAGAAGCTAGGCCTTTCAAGCAACATTATATAGCCCCCCCCAAGATATAGATAGAAAAAGTGGATCCGTGTCACTCTCTATTGGAAGCCGTTTCGTTCTCCCTACTTGGGGGATCACGCATCAGCCAACGAACCAAGGCTTCTCGGCCGAGTTCTGGCTATGCATGGGGGTTCCCCCCTTCCTCGGTTCGGCTCCCTGGGAAGCAAGAGATATAAAAGGAAATGCCCACTTTCCTCCACAACTACCAGGATCATCCCATGGTTGTCCTGGCTAGACTACCCTACGTTCCCTGGTTGTCCTGACAGGGCACCGGATAGGCCACCGAGATGGGATTCTTCGCTGTTGCCATGGAGGGGTTGGAGGCCTGGTGGGAGGCCTTGTGCAATGGTCTTGAGAAAAACACCCCTTTCTACCGGTTGGGAGGACCATGGCTCGGCCAAAAATGCAAAGCCGCACATGCGCAGCCCCCTACCTTTACCCCCCCCCCCACGCTCTTGGATCTGCTCTAGTGGAAGCTGATTCATCCAGAAGTTGTTTGAAGAAGTGGAAGTCTAAGAGCCTAAGGGAGATGACATGGCACAAACTGAGAGACCTGGCTCAAACCGGTGTACTGGTTCATACGGAAGCTCATGGTTTCGGGGGAGAATTTGTAGCCCTCCCTGGTACAACCCATTTCCGCGCCAAACAAGGAAGAAATCCAAACAGGAGTCACAAAGGGGTTGTTTTTAGCCCCTAAGTGAGTGGATGTTCTGGGCACCCTTATCCTCCAAGCTCGGCACCCCCTTGTGACTCCTGGAAACAGCAACGTTGCCTTCAGCAAATCCACCACCGTGCGGACCGCGCGGCAAATGCGTCGTCCCACAGACGCCCAGATTGTCCACCCGCCACTGCGTGAGGAGGGCGTTGGACGGTGAGAAGGCGTCTTCCTCGGGGTGCATCGGGCAGCGCACACGGGGTGCACCCCGACGAAGACCCGCCGCATGGAAGTGGACGGGACCCACGCCCCTGTTTGTGAAGGACACTGGTCTTCCAAGGGGCCATGCAGTCTGCTTCCATGGCATGTGAATCAAGTTGCGTTGTGATTTCCATGCTCCAGAAGTGCCCTGGAGCCCTCAAGTGAACTCATCTGACTCGTGTGCTGACTCAGTTACGGCAGTGCTGACTCGGTAGCTGAGATCTTGCTTGGACTTTCAATGTGTCAAATGTGTACTTACTGTATATACTGCTCGTCTGTTTATGAATTTGTTTCTATGACTTTCCATGTCCATGGTTTTTGAAGAATTCATCCGGAAGTCGAAAGCTCACCTTCGAAGAAACCGCCTCAACATTCAGCCCAACAACCACCTCAACATTCAGCACCTCCACCACACCTCCGCCAACCACGCCATTCCTCCATCCCAGCATCGCAGCTCCAGGCCTCCCAGAACGCCTCCACGCGCGTGAGCAGCTCGGCCTCCAGCGTGCCGCGTCCGCGGCGGTTTCCACCGCCGAGGTCCAGATCGACCAAGGTGGCCAAGGGCTGCAGTTCGATCTCCGCCGCGCCTGGCGCAGAAGTGCCCGGGAGGTGCCGAGGCGCGCCATGCAGAGGGAGAGGGAGGGAGAAGAACCATTCCTAACAAAAATCCGCCCACTCCACCCCCACTTATGCATCCACTGTGCACTCACTACACCACGGACTCCAAAAAACAAGCGTTGCCTGGCAGCTGCTGCGCCAGCCGCTGCCACAAGGCCTCGCTGCGCACCGACACCGCGTCGAAGCCCCACGCGCCGTTGGCCACGTCCAGCGGCGCCCAGTCGGCCGCGCCGTCGAATTCCGACGCGGCGCTGAGGGAAGCGAAGAGCGGTGGATCGTGCCTCACAGCGACGGGCTGACTGAGCTCATGACTTTGGGCCTGCGAACGTTGACGGATTCTCGATTTCTCGATGGACGTCGGATTGCTACACTGGAACACCATGGAACACCTATGCCCTGTTTTCCTATCATTCTATGGCTCTGCTTCTGTTTGCTCGGGCAAGGAGGTGCAAAAACTAAAGGACACTCTGCGGCCTGCATGCGAGAGTATTGCTTCAAGATGAAGCCACAAATCATGAATCATCCTGATGCGGCACCCTTCCCTCTCGGAGGATTCTCCCCTGCACCAGCAACTTCCCATCCAAATGACTCCTTCCACCCCATCTCTCACCAACGTTCCCTCCACACCATATCCCACCAGCCTCCGGAGCGTGCCGAAGGCCCAAGCCAGGCTCGACACCTCCCGCGGCTGCAGCGCGCGCCGCACAGCGGCGTGGGACATGGCCGCCATCAGCGGCTCCTGACGAACGCGCCGAGGGTGCTGAGGCCCTGATGAGTATGGCAGGGGTACCGGTGCAAGTGGATGGACTAAATGAGGATGAGGAGGAACTTGCAACACGAAAAGTCAGCAGCTACAAGTGGTCGAGTCGAACAAATTCGAGAACTATATGGGTGTGGTATGGTAAAATCTGTCAAGAAAATGTTGGAGGAGAGAACTGTCGGGTAGCTGTGGTTCTTCTGCTTATCTTGAGCACTGGACTGGTGATAATGTGGTGGAACCATCTGTCCCAACCAGAAACAAATGGATGTTTCCCCAGTCCCAGCCATTTCCTATGTAAAGGATTTCAAGCTGGCGCCATATTGGAACAACCAGAACTGTTTCTGCTCACTGGGGCTTCCAGGTAGAGGCTCAATGCCCCAAAGACGTCGACCCAGCCGGGTCTACAGAGTCGACACCAGGCGGGTCTACGTTGATCGCATGGGTCCGGTGTGTCCCACCGCCGATTCCAACAGAGGTATCCGGTGTATCCAGCGACCGGTTTCATAGGACCCGTGAGCTGGGGTATCGTCATGCGATAGAAGAACAGTTGGGTTCTGAAAAACCTCGGTTGGATCGCAGGCACTAGGTGGGTGCTTTTTTTGGGGGAAACTCAAGCATACCCAGACACTCCATGGGACTGCCATATATGCCGATCAGTTGGGGTGGTTTTGGGGGTCAATGTAGGCATATATGGCAGTCCCATGGAGTGTCCGGGATATATATACTCAATCTCACCATCTCTCACCTTCACCACCCCTCACGCCGTCGCCAGGGACCCCGCCAGACCGCAGGTTCCACCTGCAGCACGCCCAGCTTGGCAAAGCCCCACGCCGCGTTGGACGAGTTCTGGGCATCGAAGCTTCCCATCCTCCGCGCGCTCCAAGCGCCCAGCGCGTCCATCAAAGGCCACTCGCGCGAGCCGAGCTTCGCCACCGACCAGGCGCTGTTGGCCAGACCTGTGGTGGGTGGCAGGAAGGCGGTTCCGGAAGGGCACGCCCCCCTTCCAAGGTCCACAAAGATGAACAGAAGAGTGCGGTGTTGGAATGGGATGATCAATGGTCAATGGTCTGGGACTTGCGACCTGCGGGTCTGAGGCAGATGAGTCTGTGGCCAAGCTTTCAACCAATGCCTATAAGTATGCAACCACCACTATCCTTTTTGGGCCAAGTTGGCTTGTCACCTCCTGGAAACTCCCACCAAATTGGCTTTCAACAAAGGCCTGGAAACTAGTACCAGGCCCTTCAAGAGGTGGTCAATGGACACCCCTTAACGGCTAACGGACTATAAATAGAGACCCCGACAGGAGGGTCCAGGTATGTAGCCACTCCGTTCCAAAAGCATTGAGCCACCCTGCGGTCGGTCGTTTCCGTGGTCTACCGTGCCATCGACATCGATGCACGCCTTGGCAGCTCATCTCGCCCACGCCGTCCTTCACCTCGTCCAGCAAACGACCTCGTCCACCGAGTCCAAACAGCCACAAAACAAGCATCCCACCCAATGACCCAGAAACAACATCCCATTCACCCACCCAAACTATTCCAAAACTCCCCTCAGTCCCTCTCTCCCAAGACTCCTCTCCCACCCCTCTCCTGCCCTCCTCTTCCCACCCCACCTAGCATCGCCCAATCCTGCCAGCTCAGCGCCGCCACCGTCCACACGCTGTTCGCCACCTGCTGCGGCGTCCACTCCGCAGCGCCCGCGCCGAGGAAGCAGCCGAGGAGGTCGAGGAAGGCGGGATCCAGGTGAGCAAGCCTCCAGGCGAGGAACATGGCGGAGATGGGACAAGGAGCCAATACAAAGCACCAGAGAACATCAGAGAACCACCAGAGAACGGTCATGAAGAAAAAAGGCTCTGCAGGTGCCAGGTCATGGTAGTTGGTACTTCGGGGGCCACTTCAACCACTTCCATACAGCTTTCATGATCGGAGTTCCTCGCCGAGCCACGTGGCAAAGCCCCACGCCGTGTTGGCCATGGCCTGGGCCATTCTGCCGCTCGGCCGGGCGCCCAGCGCGCGGGCGCAGGCGGCCAAGAGGGGCTCAGACCGATAGCCTGGCAGCGGGCTCAGGTGGGCTCTCCAATTGGGAGAAGTCGCCCCAAGCCCCAACCAAGTGAACTAAAGAAGTGAGAAGAACCCTTCCAGGGGGGCATTTTCCGTTCACTTCCATGAGTGTTGGAGCGCGGGTCTCCAACCCAGCTTCCAAAAAGACCTGCCAAACCACCAAGCTCGGCGGCTTCGATGGTCCATCGAACCTCTTGCCACGCCGAGACCGATTCGGAGCCGAATGCACCCACATCTTCCGGAGCCGGTGAGTGCTTTTTCGGTGCTCCGAACGGCAGTGGGCCATCTGCTCGGAGAATCACTCACTGCTATAACCAACAGAGGTTGAAGGACCCTATAAATAGACTATCCATGACTATCCCAGTTCGGTACCCCAGGTGACGGGTCCTATTTACGGTCACTGGATACCTCCCCTGGAAGGACCCAGGAGCTTCCCGTCATGACCGACCTTCAGGATTGCCGAACTTCGTGACCTCACTGTCACGAACGGATCTCGTTCGGTCACTGGGGAAGGTCCTGGACCGGATGTTCTGTGCTCAGACCATGTTGCTAGTCAGAAACTGCTAAGACATGCTAAGACCATCTGACTGGGCCTTCCCCCAACACAAAAACCGACTTCCACGTGTGCGCGGTCGCTGCAGAAGTGCGAGCCACGGGGATCTCAATTCGCCGCGAAGGTCAGTAGCGTTTGGAAAGACCATCCAAGGAGGAAAGACACCTGGAGCCTCAAAGTACCTCAGAAAATGGGTACAGTCGTACCTGTTTTTATAGGGCCATGTCCCATTTTCTAGAGTACTTAGGAGGGTCCAGCAGTTTCAATACTCAAATTTTGCCCATTGATATTCCACCACAACCTTCCAACAGGTCATCACCGTCGCGACTTGAAAAAGCTGTTCTCTTGCGACCCCGGGACACACCGTGGCACAGGCCCAGACGCTGTTGGCCAAGCCCTGCGCAGAGAACTCGCCTCGGCCGGTTGCATTCCAGCCACGTCACTGCTATCCATGGAGGAATGCGACACACTCACATCCACAGCCCCTGGATGGGGCTCAACACCACCCCTGGCCCTCCAACTCCTGGCAGTCAGCACTTCTTGGTTGGCCCATGAGCGACGGAACCCGGAGGCAGACGATCGTCCGCCCTTTCTTTTCTGCCCAAGGTGCCCAAGCTTCGCAGCGCGGCGCGTTCCAAGGCTCCAAAGACTTCGGGCTCTCCTTCCGTGTCGTTTCCGGGCGACACCACACGGACGGAGAGCCGAGCGCCACGGAGAGTCGCGCGCGAGCTTTGTCGTCGGCGGCTGGTTGGGCGGTCGAAGCCCACTTTGGTCTCCAATGCCTGAGCTCCTCACTCTGCATTCAATAATTGCAGAAGGAGGAGGCAAAGAAGGAGAAGACAATTAGAAGAAGTAGAGAAAGAGTCACCTGTGTTGATGGGCAAAGGGTAAGGCTCTGGGAGCTTCAGCATCAATCGACAATTCCGGAAAAAACTCGCAAGGACAAAGACATTCCGATCTTGCATCTGCAGCGGCTCAAAAGGCGTGCTTTTCCGCGTGACCTTGCTGCAGATCGCGCTCCCGGCCTGCCAATAGGTTCCCCAAGGTCCAAGCCATGTTGGACACGTTCTGCGGGTGAAACTCGTCGATCCGCCTGCGACGTGCCGGCGACGGTGACGCGAAGGTGCGGCATGATCGGACCTTTGTACGTTCTTCTTCTCCTTCTTCTTCTTCTTCTCCTTCTTCTTCTTCTCCTTCTTCTTCTTCTTCTTCTTAATTCTTCTTCGCCTTCTCCGCCCCACACCAACCCCTCAGCTGCCTCAACGTCGCACTGCCCAAGACCTCGAACACCTCGCGTCTCAGGTCTTCCTGGGCGACGGATCCGGCGGAAGATCCGGAGAGAAGCCCAGCAGCTCTGCGGTCGACGCAGAGAGCAGCAGATCGGAGCAAATGGCACGGGGCAAATGGTCTGCTCCTGGACCTTCAAAGGGAGGTCCTGGCTGGAGATCCCGGATGGTAGTGTAAGGGCTTCCAGCCAGGTGACCCCGACTTGAAGGTGCTGGCAATAGAACATTCTAGAACTCATTGTCTGGCAAATGCCAGGTGGGTGTGAGAACAAGATAACCACCTCCCATAACATTAAAGACACAAACACAACTTGCACAAAGATCGTGCCAGTATTGGTGAAACTGTGAAGCATTGATTCTAACATTCTGGAGGCCTAGAAGCAAACCAAAAAGCCATCAACAGGAGTTTCGGACTGTCACCTCTTCAAATCACCCGTCTTCGCCCCCTTCACCTCAGCTCTTTCGTTCGTCCCAGTCTCCCCGGTGCCAACGGTGCCAACGGCCCAGGCCACGTTCGTCGAATTCTGCGGCTCGAGCTCGGCGGCCAAGGCCACCGTCCGCCTCGCGGTCCACGCCAGCAGCGGCGCCTCACCAACAGAGGTTATAGACCAGACACTCCATGGGACTGCCATAGGACTGCCGATCAGGCCTGGGGTGGTGGACTGGGGGTCAATGTAGGTATATATGGCAGTCCCATGGAGTGTCTGGGTTTTGGAAGTGACCGGTTTCATAGGACCCGGAAAACCTGGGGTACCGGGACTCCTGGGATAGTCGAAGAGTCGGGTTCTGACCAACCTCTGTTGGCACAATAGACCCCCAAGTACCAGCAGTCACCAGTACGGGGCTGGTGTGGCTCGTCCCCTTTGAGGGGCTATGGATGTGATGTTCTGGGCACCTCGGATCGCAGCCCGAGCTCTGTGAGCCCCAAGTAGCATCCGACTTCACAGGTTCGACCTGTTGGTTCGACCTGTGGGTTCCTAGAATCCCCACGCTTTTACATGCGGAACATGTATTGGAAACCATGCCACTTTGGGGCCACAATACATGACTCCACGCATGTGCCGCCCTTCTTTTTTTTGGACTTTGATGGCTTGATGATGAATGAGGTATAAAATGTGGCTGATCCCCCTTCTTTCAGGAGTGATTGCAAACCCCCCCTGCAACTCACCCACTTCTGGCAAGTTAAACTTGCAACGCCTCCAGCAGCCGGGCTGCATCCTGCATCAGGGTCACCAACCTGATGTCTACCCACTCGCCATCTCACCATCACTCACTTCACTCACTCACCCCAGCCTCCAAGATCGCCAGTGTGGCATAGCTCCAAGCCGTGGTCCCCACCTCCTGCGGACCCACGCCGCCGTCGCGGCCGCTCTGCAGGAAGCTGCCCAGCGCGGTGAGGAGGGGCAGCGGACGAATCGCCAGCGTGGCGAATCCTTCACGGACGGAAGTTCAGGCGACCGGAGGTCGGGTGGCACGACTTCTAGTAAGGTTCAAGTAGAATGGCCGAAGGTTGAGCAGTTGGAGCACCAATGCATTGATGAAGTAGTTGACTGGAAGTGAACAGTAGTTGAGTAGATGGGGCACCAGTGAACAGTAGTTTAGTGAACAGAAGTTGACTGGTCCGGCACCCGCTCTTAATTTCTATGGTCGATCCTATAGGCTAAAAATAGGATGAATTCCGCAAAAGGCCATGAAGTTTTACGAGTTGATCCTGCAAACAACTGGAGGTCATCCAGCTGCACACCTCTTGTACTATACTAGTCTCCTCGTCCGTCCCTCGACCTCCCCGCCGCCCTCGACCGCTCCTCACGCCAGATTGGCCACGCCCCGCGCGTCCCACTCGTCCGCCACGCCGGCCACGCGCGCGGCGAGGCGTTGGAAGAGCGCCCGGTGGAGGACCGCTGCCTTCGCGAAGGCCCAGGCGGTGCTGGCGAGCTCCTGGCAGTGCTGGCAGTGCCAACAGAGGTTGAAGGACCCGAACTAGACTATCCCAGTTCGGTAACTGAGTAGGGTCCTATTTACGGTCACTTAACCTCACTTGGTGTTCCTAGTAGCTTCTGGCTCCTAGTAATAAGGCCAGGAGCCCCTAGTAGCATCCTTGCTGCCAGTAGCGATGCCAGGAGCCCCTAGTGGCGGCGTTTTGTGTCCCAGAACTTCCGGAACTGGACTCATGAACGACCATCCACCACTGCCAGTTAGGGGCAGTTCATGAGTCAGGACTGGACTCTCAGGGTGCGTGGTCTTTTTATATGCTGGGTGGGCGGCTTCAACGTGAAAGGAACAAAAAAGTGGGAGTCGGTAGATGAAAAGGGGTGCAAGTACAGATTGAAAATCAAAAATCTCTGGTTTACCCCCACCCAGTCTCTGAACTCTTTGGGGCCAATGCACCCGAGTCGCCTCAAGCAGCTTCACAAGTCGCACGAGTCTTCACACATGTGGTCAAAAAGTCCATACCAAACACCCAACATTCAACTTTCATGTTTCCTTTCATTCCTTTCTTCACCACCATATCTTTCCACCCCTCCTGTGCTTTGGCCTCCTCCATTCGTTCCAGAAAGCTCTCCGCCAGCCACGTCCACCTCTCCGTCGCCGCCGAGACAGGGTCACTCGGCGCCGCCGACGCCAGGGTCCAGGCGAGGTTGGCCACGTGCTGCGACGAGGCCTGCAGCCTCACAGGGGGACCGGACCCGAGGGGTGGCCGCGTTTTCCAGACACTGGAGGGGATGGGGAAGGAAGGCAAGGCTTGTGGCGTCGATTGGGGTGGAAATCGACTAAGAATGAAGAAAAATAAGAAAAAAAACCCTCCATGGCGCTTCCAGTTGTTTTGGAAGGACCCCTCTTAGCCCTGCCGGGCCGACCGAGGAGCTGGAGCTGGCGCGAGGCAGTGAGGATGGCCAGGAGAAGCGGATGGTCGAAGATCAACAGAGTCCTTCCGGGCGGTCTCCGCGAAGGAAGAGTTGACCCTCCCAAAAAGCTGTTTCATGGGCTTCGTGGACGTGAGCCGCTTGGTGCAGTGGAGTTTGCTTCTTTTCCATCCTGGAAAGCCCAACAAATGGTTGGTCCAAAATATGGCATTGAGATCTTTGACTCTCCGAAGTGGCTGGGAACCTCCAGACCTCTTTCTGCGACTGGGTGAGCCCCGGATACTCTTGCCCTTCGCCACCGGCCAGGAGGTGAAACGTCACTGGATACCTCTGTAGGCAGGAGCCCACCAGAACCGGCAGTCACAGAGCTCGAGGCGCCCCAGAAGAGCTTCGGAGTGCCCCACCAGGTGGCCCATCCACAGCCCCTGGATGGGACGAGCCACACCACCCCGTCCTTCCAACAGAGGTGAAGTGACGTTATAGGACCCTACCAGGGTACCTATGGGATAGCCTATAGAGTCCTTCAACCTCTGTTGGTTGTGACTCCTGGAAGGATGGCTTTTGGGGTCCCATCCAGCAACCTGTCGGATGTGACAGCACTTCGCATCCCGACGGCACCCTCCGTTCGTTCGGCCCCGGACATGTGACTCCTGTGGGCAGACGCACACAGAGAACTGCAAAAAGCGTTGGGAGCCCCGAAAGTAGCGGCTCCGCGAGCACCTGAAGTGGCCCATGAAGTAGTAGCGCGGCAGTGGTTTCCCCCTCGAGCAGGAGCATCCGACCCATCTGGGGGTGCGACGGCTGGACCGCCCAGCCCAACTTCTTTCTCAAGAGTTATTCTTTCCATCGGCCCGATTGCCCGGTGGATGAATGAAAGCGGCCAGTTCTCTAGCCCAGTCCCCCTGTCCCCCTGGCTCTTGTCATCCCATCATTGCATCATTCAACTTCACCCGCCGCGAGCTCAGAGCCAGTCCTCAGGGCTCAAGCGCTGTTCGCCAGCTTCTGCCCGTCGAACTGCGCCAGCGCCGCTGCCGTGGCAGCGCGGAGGCACTCATGGAGTGGCGGGTTCTGGAGGCTTAGCTTGGCCACGGTCCAAAAACCTCGGCGGTCCAATGGTGTCAAACTGCAAAAGGGAACGGTCGGAAACCTGTTGCAGGTCGGAATAGCACGTCCATCACATCGAGCAAATCCCATCCAGCTTTTGACCTAAAAGATTTGTAAACATGTTTCGATGCTGCACACTCGAACCCTCATTGCGGGGTGAGGGCCACCCACAACTCCACAGCACGACGCAACCGTGATTCAAATGGCACAAATTAGCATTCAAGAGAATGGGCACTGGCATTCGATCAGCCTTGGGCTGGTGCTGATTCAAGTAGATCCAACAACATGCCGGGGGGCCATTTCAAGTCGATTCAACCACTTTGGAGGCAACACTTCTTACCACGGCCCAGGAACTGTTCGCAATCTGCTGCGGGTTGTGCTCGTGGATCAGCTGCTGCGTGCGTTCGGAGGCTGCTGTCCTTGGTCGAAGAGTTGTGCAGAGTTGACATGCATTCTACGGCTCCTCAACTCATCTAGAAGCAGTGGGTGCTGAGTGGAGCTTAGTTAGGGGGTGCCCATTCTCCACTCATGAACCTGGGACTACCTGCTGCATGCCATGTCTGACTCTCTCAAGTGCTAGTGAAGATCCAACACCAAGCGCAACTCCTCCTGGAGTGGATGCATGTTGCTGCAACTCATCTAAACATTCTAAGAACCACCGCAACCTGGATCCTAAAAGGGCTGAACATGGGAAAACCAAAGGAAGTGGAGAACGAAAAATGAGGCAGGCTGACGGCGGCTGATATCGGGAGATCACCATGGGGTGGATGGGCTTGTTTTACTCCGCGCATATGCTTGCCGGGGCTATCCCTATCCTCTTCTCCGTTCGGCGCCGGCAACTCCTGGCGCCCGAATCTTCTCCTCCCATGGCTCCTCCACTCCTCCAAGCCACATAAAGCCCTCCGGTCGGCACCGCAGCACGGCGGAAGCCCAGAGGAGGTTCGTCAGCGGCAGAGCACGGAAGGTGCTCCTGGGAGCGGCTCTTCGCCACGCGGAGGAGGAGGAGGAGGAGGAGCACGTGCTGCACTGAAGGGGAGGAAGAAAGGTGGTGAAGGCAAGTGCTGGGAGCAACAGTGCCAAGCGCCTGGGGCGCCCGACTGTTGACATTCAATTGTTGCCATCGCTATAAAGAAGTCCTTTTGCAACACAGCAACTCCGTTGGCAGAAGCAACATGAAAACCGCAACATGAAAACCGGCAGGTTCCAGATTGCTCTAGCCGCACACAGACTTGGCACAAGGAGCTAAAGAAATGATGTCCAGTCCAGTAACATGTTTTGGTGCAACAGATCTTGACTCCCTCGATTTGATGAATCTTTTGGGAGGGGATTAACCAACAGCCATACCAAAGGACAGTTACTTCCAAAAGTTGGGATGTTCGTCTTCTTTCATCCAAACCTATATCCAAACACCATTTTAAAATGACACCAAAGGTGTCTGGCATAGGCAAAGCCAGGTGGGACGGAGGGAGGAGTGAAGGACGTACGCATGGAGCACCCAGCTACTGTATAAAAGAATATTATAGTACGTAGAGGAATTTAAGTATATTGAAATCAAGGGGTGTAAGTCAAGTTCATCCCAAAGAAAGGAAATTGGAATTGACAACACATTACCAAACCATACGTAGAACCGGACGTAGAACCGCACATGTTCGCATGAACAGCTATACATTCCGCTTCACGCTTTATTCACCGCAGTGGTCCGACCCTCCAGTCGAGCTCAGATTCATCTGCTGCCGCGCGCGGTCCGCAACTTCGGCCATTAAGCTTGACCCACTCCTCGCACAGGAAAGCCATGCCCCCCAGGAAAACAGGAAACCCTTGCCCCTTGCACATCATCTCTCATGAATGCCAGAACATATAGCTAACTGCTTGGCCACATGCATTCCACGCAGAGGCTTGGGCAAGCCTCTGCCTCCCATTCTCATCTGGTGTGCCTCTATAACATGACCACATGTCTGGGCATCACTGGCCTCACAGCTGGTGTTCAGGACACCCAGTCGCTATAGATGTTGCGTTCACGGGCTCGAAGTCCAACATCCGCGAACGGAAGCACCGCCCCCGTCGCCGCCTCAGCTCCAGCGCCGCCCAGCCCCACGCGACGTTCGCCAAGCTCTGCGCTTCGAACTCGTCCGCGCGGCGCCGCCAGGCGGCGCGCACCGCCGCGAAGAGCGGCACGTGGTGGAGCCTCGCGCCGCGTGGAGGCACGACGATGCGTGGGGGTTCGGAGGGTCTGACGGGTGCGAGCGACGCGCGGGAGGGGTTGGAAAGAGGGACCGCTTTTGGGTCACGGGCTCCAAGCATTTGGGAGCATTTGGGGGGTCCGGAGGTGGAACACTCCCTGAACTCCTATTCGGACAAGGGTCTTCCGAACGAGTTCGGGGCCATGCCATTGACTTCCACCATGATGATTTCAGGGAGTGTGGAGCATCAAGAGTTGGGTTGGAAGGGTCCGGCTTCGGGTTGGAAGGGATTACAGGGAGAATTGGTTCTTCACTCGTTAGATCTCGTTAGGCTCAAAGTGGATGTGGCCCAACTCCTTCCCTTGGAGGAAAGACCTGTACAGCGTTTGGTCACGTGCACATATATGGCGGCTCCATTCCGAAGAGTTGCCGAAAGCTCGAGCATTCAAATTCAATCCATTGTTTTCAGTCAAAAAAAAACACGCAGTGACGTGGAGGGCCTCACACTTTCCATTCTATTCCATCGTCTCTCCATCTGACTTCCTGCCTTAGAGCAAATCCTGGCAAGTGCCGACCATCAAAGGCAAACCATGAAGGTCCATGAACTCCTCTCCAGCCCATCCCAGACACCCTCCACATCAACCAGCCAACGCCAAACGCGTGAACATGAAACCTCAAGGCAACAGACCCCCCCAACATCCATACCGTCCATACCATCCATACCACACCATCCATCCATCCCTCCGCCACGCACCACGCACCAGACCCACCAAGCACCACTCACCACCACATCCGCTCCGCCAGTCTCCCCGGTGTCACCGGGCGGCTGCAGCTTCGCCATGCTCCACGCCCAGTTGGCCACGCCCTGCGGATCCCAGCGACGCGGAGCGGCTTCTCGACGCTCGTCTCCCATCGACGAGGTCAGGCGCGCCGCCAGCGCTGCCAGGCAGGGCTCAGGTGCCAAGAGCAGGCGCGCGAGGCCTGGTCCCGGGGCCGACCACTGTGGCTGGAAAGGCTCTGGAGGGGCTGGGGTGTCGCTGTAGAAAGTGTCAAGTGACCATTTTAGACATCCCCCCACCCAAAACTGCAACTCCGCTCAAATAAAGAAGAGCGATACGGTAATGATCGGTTAATGGGCATCATCAATCGTCAAACCTGCGTCAACAGGGCAGCTCCATCCGCCTCAGGCGCTGTTCGACAAATGCTGCGGCGTGAAGCTCTCCAAGCGCTGCACGCAGCCCAGCGCCAACGCGGTCGTCAAGGGCGGGTCGGTCTCTGCCAAGGCCTTATAATTCAAAGAATCTCCAGAAAGACAGACAGGCAGGTAGGCAGACCAACAAACAGAACGGACAGAACAGACGGACAGAACAAACAGAGAGAGAGAGAGAGAGGGCGAGCCACGACAAACTCCAGTAAAATGAGGTCATTTACTTGTAGGGCTTGCTCTCTTTTTGCCTAGCACCTGCCGTCCGTAGATCTTAGGTCCAAGGACCCCGCCCCGATGTGCCGGGCTTTGTCCAGCGGCTGAACGTCGGCTGAACGGATGAGGAGGAAATGACGTGGGTGAACGCACTACGGTGTCACAACCCTGGGACGCGGCGAAGCGGCTGAAGCCAAAGCAAGGAAATCGTGGTCATCAAAAGGAATCTTCTTTGACGAGGTGACACGCCCACACTCCGGCCAGTTCCTCACGGTTTGAGCCACTGCCATTCCGCCAACAAAAGCGGAAAAAAGTAAGTTCGGTATGGTTCAGACAATCCACCGGACAAAGGAGACAAGTCACCAATCAGTACTGTAGCTACTGTAGACCCTTTGATGGACCAAAAAATGGATTGTAGAGCCGTAGAGCCTCTTCAATTATTAGGGCTACTAGGGAAGGTTTTGCTCATCAAGAGTCTCAGTCTACCTTTAAAGTCCATCATCCAGCAACCCCCAATGCCAACCACTCTGCACGCCCAGCCACCGCCATCGTCCAAATCCCGTTCGACAAGCCCTGCGCGTCGCACTCGGCCACCCGCGCGCGACAGGCGCGGCGTGCGCAGGCCACGGCGGGCGCGGCGGTGTGGGCCACACGCGTCAAGGCCCAAGCAAAGTTGGTGGTCACCTGCGGCTGATTCCAGGTGTAGCTGGAGGTTGGAAACTCCAATCCATTCACCACCCCTATGACCTACCTGTGGTCGTGTCAAGCATCAGTACAATAGGGCGTAGGAACATGACTAAATGAAAAAAGCGGCCGTGAAACCTCTGCTCGTTCGGGAATCAAGGAGCGGGCGTGGAGCGGGCGTGGAGCGGGCGTGGAGCGGGCGTGGAGCGGGCAGGACCGGCCGCTCCACGATGGAAACATCCGTTGTCCCCTTCTACTGCGCTGACTTCCAACACAGGTATCCAGTCAGTGACCGCACATAGGACCCGGAAAACCTGGGGTACCGAACTGGGATAGCCGAAGAGTCGGGTTCTGACCCACCTCTGCTGGTACTTGGAGGCCAAAAGCGACACATTGGTTGCCTCGTCTTCTCTCCTCCACTCCCCCGGGCTCCAGACTTTCCCGCGGGGTCAATGGGGGCGGCAGTCCTATGGCAGTCCCATCGAATGTCTGGGATACACTCTTCAACGCGTACCTGCCCCCACTCCCCACCCGGCACGAGTGACTCCCCGGTCCGCGGACCGCGGTCCGCCCGCCTAGGCGTCGTAGAGCTGGAAGTCCGCCTCCTTGCGGCCGATGGCCTCGCAGATCGCCGCCACGCAGCCGGGCGCGTCGTGGCGCAGCTTGGCGAAGGCCCAGGAGCCTCGACCGTGGTGCGCCCGTGCGCCGCGGGTTTCGTGGTGCAGGTTTCGTGGTGAACTGTGGCCGTCAGGGTCTCTGAGACTGGAGCCTCACATCGTGAAACCGCTGGAGAACTGAATGTCGAAGCAAGTTGGAATTATCATTCCTTAGAGATTAAGGACCATTAACCATGTTGAGACAAGACCATTAAAGAAGAAACCATGTCGGTGTCATTCTAGTTGGAATTAAGACCATTAAAAGCCATTGAGATTCATGAAGTATATTGTACACACGTCGGCAACCCGCCATCGAATCGGCCAGGGCACAACGCACCAGCCACTACAGCCGCAAGCGGCTCGTGCGACTTCGTACCATCAAGGCGAGGGCTTCCACGTGAGGTGCTGCGTCCTGGGAATGCATCCGCAGCTGAGGATGACCACTAGTCACTAGTCAAGGCTCTTCTCTGAGGGAAACACTTCAGAAATGTCAGATGCAGAACCCTCCATCTCGAAATCTTTCCCCATTTGAGTTTTCGCTGAAAAAGTTGCATTTTGATGTTCCGTGTCCCAACCCGCTCCTCCACGAACAACTTGGCCAACGCCCAGACCTTGTTTAGAACTTCGGGTTTTTTCGAAGCCAAGACCCATGGGCAGCGATTCCTGTTCGTTTGTTCCGCCCAAGGGAAGATCCAAAGACCATATATTGTTCACTGCAGTGATGTGTTCTCTGCGGCTCACCTAAATAAAACACAATTTTGACATATAGTCTTGCGATTGAACCCTCAACCCTGCCACAAGACTTGTACCCAAAAAAGTTGTCAAACACTCCTTCCCAGCACCCGCCGGACTGCGAAGGCAAAGCTCCAGTAGCAGTAGCAAGGAAAAAAGGAACGATCCCAGACACTCCATGGGACTGGGATGGACTGGGTATATGTGCCAAACCCTTGACCCCTTTTCAACCCAATCCCTGGCCTTTTCTGTCCTCGCTGGGATCGGCTGCCCCCTCCGCCCCCCCCTCGCCATCTCTGCCGGTCCAGCCGCCGTGTTCACCAGCCCCTGGTCATCCAGCTCGCCGGTCGCGCCCGCGCCGGTCATCAGGGACGAGGTCACGAGGCGCACCGTGCGGTGCCTCTCCCGGCAGCTGAGGCGAGCGAAGGCCCAAAGAAGATCGGCCAAGCCTGGCACGGCTTCTGTGAGGCTTCACCGGCAGGTTGAAGGAGGGGTGCGTTTCAAGAACCATTGGGGGCACGGCCACTGCTGCACTGCTGCATGGGAAAAAGGAAAGCAGCCGTTCTGCAAATCACATGTTTAAGAACAATACATGTTGCGGACCCATCGGGGTTTCCAGAACCCTCTTCTCAAGCAGGTGCTGTTCTCAGCAGTGGCTGGGCCCCTGCTCTTAAGGACAAACCCACCAACCAACCCCGGACTGCATCCTGACTCCGTCCGGGCTCCACCTGAGGCGGGCAATTCCTCGAGCACGTCCGCGCGGGCCACGCACGCCAGGAGGCGCTCCCACGCGGCGGTGGTGCCCGGTGCCTGCGGACAGAGCTGAAACGATCCACCGACGGACGGAGCGCAGGGTCGCCCAGTCACAGCACGTCCAGTCACAGTAGTGGAACTGAGCGCACGCCTATTTCGCTGGACCACCCCAAGGCACCTCTTGTTCTTTCCAAGCTCAAACCACCAGACGGACATGGTCACCCCTCCACTTCGGCACGATGCCACACGGCGCCTCAGCGGCCGCGTGGGCCATCCGCCGCACGACCAGGACATGCTGCGAAGCGTCGAACTCCGCGTGCCTCTGGGCCTCGGCAACGGACGCGCGAAGGGCGGACGCGCGAGGCCAGGGCGGACCGAGCGTGTGACGGGCGGCGCGTGTTAGGGCGCGCATAGACTCGCGTTCTTCGCGCGCGCGGTGTGGGTTTTGGGGAGGCGCGGAGGAGGAAAAAAAGGGTGGGAGTTGCATGAAGGGCTTGGAACTTGGAGTCGGCATAGAGCTGGCGTCTGGATGAAAAGGACTTTGCGGTGGGAGCTTCTAACAGGTCTTTGAAACAGGACCAGAAGTTCGGACAGTGACAGAATGGAATGTAATAGAACCATGTGGGATACGTGGGGCAAGAAGCAGAATTCCAGCCAGATCTGTGTGTTTCGGGGAGCGGGTGACGGTTGAGCCTCATTTGCAAGGCTGCTTCTGCTAGCCTTCTGCGTCCATAAGTAGATGCCGTGTCCGTTTTGGCTGCCTGTCTCACACGCGGAAAAAGGTCCACAAAATTGCAGCAGCAGCAGCAACAACAACAACAACAACAACGACAGAGCAGTCCACTCAAAGCATGCGCTCAGCATGCACTCATACTGAGCTGGGCGCCCAGTAGGACAGCAGCTGTGACACGGGCACTTGTAAGATTGCCTCCTGCCCGATGTCGAGGCCGAACCCGTCCATGCCAAAATCTGGTCAGACATCCGAAAACAGAGGTCACTTGTCCTGTGACTGTGGGCTCGGAAAGGTGTCTTTGCATGTCTTTTTACCCCATTCATTGACGCAGCGTGGAGCACGGAACAGTCGCCCACCACGGGAAAACTGCCCGCGGCCTTTGCTCTAAGGCCATCCAAGGACGCTGATTCACTGTATATGGTAGAAATAAGATGTATAGAGTACAACATTCTGCATTTAATCACAGTATCTGAAAGAAATCTGGCAGGGTGGTGAACTGTTCTCCGGCACTGCTCTCCAGTAGGGAGCTCACTTCTTGGCAGTCCAAACGACCTGGTTGCCCTTGGCCCTTGCCAGTGGATTAACATAACGACCAGCTGCTAACAGAGTGAGCTCCCTGCATCGCCATACCCACCTCCCCCATCATTCGCTTCTTCCACCTCCGATCAGCTCTTCGCAAGAGCCTGCATCCCACCCACCGTACCCCACGCGCTCGGGCGCCTTCTAGCTCCGCTCGGGCGCCCACGAGGCACTGCCGCCCCGCCGCATCAGCAGCCCAAGGACCCGCTGGCCATGGAGCCGCTTGCCGTGCGCAATCCCAAAGGCGTGGCTTGCAAGCACATGCAACAGCATGCAACCACATATATGATATGCTTGGATTCAAGGGCTCGTGACCATCATGTCTGCTGCAGCATTCGGACTGACCTCCGTGCAACCACGTTTTGTACACTTGCCAAGCTACAGTAAATGAAAATGCATGAGTTCGTGCAAGGGCTACTCTTCTGTACATGAGTTATCCTTTTCTCTATCCCGGCATGATGCTGAAAAAGCAGAACTGCAGAAGAGCAAACTGCTCTTTCAGACTTCGGGAGTTTGGAAGCCCTGAGACTTGCCAGATTCTGAGGTTCAGATGACTTGGATGGTTTTTGCCCGGTGGCACTCCATCCCCAACCAACCAAACGGCACGTGTTGCGTCATCCAGAGTCCAGAGGAGAAAAAAAACACAAACCGCGGTCCTCAATTCAGATTTCACCACTTCGAACCTGCCCTATACCCTCTTCAGCCCTGACAAAAAAGGTTGCATCATTATCCATAGCATATGTTTTGAAACATTTGAAACATGTACTAAACACTTTTCATTGGCTTCCAAACCCATCCATCCCCCGCCCCTCCGACCGAGACCCGGGAGGACACCCCGCCGCTGCCACCACCGGTGAAGCTCCCTTCTTTCAGCTCACGCACCGGCCGTGAGCTCTCGCCAGCGCTGCAACGGGGTCTGCACGTGCCGCTGCGACGCGGGCAGCTCCGGGAAGTGGCCTCGGTGTCCGCTCGGTCGCGGCGGAGGGGGGGCGGAGGGAAGAAGCACGTGGGGGGCATCGGATCGACGTTGTTGCTTGAGGTATATCGGTTCCGATTCCCTCGGGCACAGGATGGGGTTCATCCTTCTTGAGGTATATGAACCTCGGGCACAGGATGAACTTCATGGGGCAATGATGGGAATCAGGATGAAGCCATCCTGCTTGAGGCACATCCTCAGCCTGTCCTGATCCCAGAAGAAAAAGGAAGAACCACTGGCAAATCTAAAATCAAGGTGCTCAGGGAGCTCACTCGGAAAATGAATCCGTCTCAGAAATTGGTTGAAGATGCTACGTGTTGTTTTCTGGTTTCTTCCACCACCGCTCCAAGCTGCTGGAGTCATCCAAGGGGTCATAGCCTCGCTGCGCGTCCCGTCCACGAGGCCGCAGAGGCTGGGCTCTTCGGCTGAAGTTCGGTGAGGGAGGGAGTGGGGTTCTACCAGAAAGGGCCAAGAGAGGTATCCAGTGACCGTACATAGGACCCGGAAAACCTGGGGGGACCCGAACTGGGAGAGCCGAAGAGTCGGGTTCTGACCCACCTCTGCTGTGGTCTTGTTGAAGGTCTGCCCATGGTCTGCCCATGGTCTGCCCATGTGGACCTCTGATCCATCCCTCCGGGTTCGAAAAAATCCAGCCCGGCTCCAGGTCTCGCAGGTCTCAGATCCGGAAGCCGTCTGTGCTCAGATCGGTCGTTCGGAAGCTCCGTGTGGTTTCGGGGTCCTCGTCTGTGAGGACAAAGCCATGGACTAGACCGATTGAAAGAAACCATGGAGGGCCTCATGGTTGAGTGGGTGAAGTATGTAATAACTATCGACTCGCCCGACTCGCCTCATGCGTCAACATATGAAGAGGACGTCCAATTCAAAACGGAAGGGTTTTGATTCATCAAGAGGGTCTACCTTCAGCGACCTTGCTAGGTGGCCGTCTTTCCATCAGCCTTGTCGTCACCGACGTCAACCCGTGCAACGTCGCACCGCTTTGGCCCAGCGTCGGCGGAACCAGGTGCTGTCACGGTAGAGCTTGATGCCTGGCCGTGGAAAGGCCCGGAACCGAAGGATGATGCTGTCTCAGCTGCGAAAGGGTGGAGAAGTTGGGGCCACCAAAACACGAAAGGGTCTGACTAAGTTCATGTGCAAGGTGCAACTTCTGGGCCCTAATGTAGGCTCTGGATGAATCAAGCCCCGCGCTCCTTTGGATTAAGACCTCTTCACGTGCACGGGGGGCTTGTTATTGGGCCCCTCGTTTGCCTCGTTCATGTCCCAACTCGCCTGACTCCCCCCACCCAAAAGTTCTTCCAACATGGTGAGACGCCAGTCGTACCCTCCAAAACCAGTCACTCAACTTCCAACCCCATACATACGCGCAACCCCGCACGCGCTCGGTCGACTGGCTCCTTCAGCTTTCAAACCAGAGATGGCCTCCGCCTTGGCATCCGCCCCCCTGCGAAGCGAAAGGCGAAAGCTCCCACGAAGGCCCAAAGACAGGACCAGAAGAAGGATCGAAGTGACTGCGAAGTGACCCGGGTGAAAGGCAAAACTTGACTGAAGTGTACTTTCTTGTCTCTTTGTGTTGGTCTGGCGAAGGGCAAAAATATCTGCTGCTTGAAGATGTTTGAAGGACTTTACCTTTTCTTTGGATTGGGAATCTGACTATGGAAGAAAACTGCTGGGTGCAATGGGGAACCAACGCGTATCAATTGAGCTGTGTGGCACTTCGGGACCAGCCATTCTGCATGAAGGTGTGGAGCCTTCCCCCCCACCAGCGTTGCTGGCCTTTTCAAAAGTCCCTCGCGAACTTGGATCATCAGAACTTCGGTAGGTCTTGGAGGTTTCTAAGAGGAATATGAGCCTCCAACAGCCTCCAATATGACCATACCAGGGCCGGCCATAAGGGGTCCATGGAAAGTACTAACCTCCGGTCCGAGGTGATTTGAGGTGTCCACTCACCCATCCCACCGACCGGTCCCGGCGCGTTCCCCGCAGAGCTCCGTCCTCGGCCAGTTCCACTGCTTCAGGCAAATGGCTGAAGCGTGAAATGGAGAGGTACAAGACTTCCTGGTCAGGCTGGCAAAAGCCTTGACCTAGAGAGGTTGAACAGCCCATCCTGGTCGCCCATCCCATATGTACCACAGACCAGGGTCCTAGTCCTGGTCTCTCAACCTCTCTTGGGAGTCAAGAGGAACGATGACCTGGTATTCGGTGCTGGGTTGTCCCCTATATCGGTTGCCAGCACATTTCTTCACCTCAAACCAAGCACAAGGCGGCCTCTTACATATGTACCACTCCAATAATTGTGTCAGATGCTCATATCCAGATTTAGTGGTTTCAGAGGTTCGATGGCACGTTTGGGCCCCCAAGATGGGCCTCCATCTAAAAGACCTCTTGCTGTTACATCCTTCTGTTGCTATTGATGGCCAATTATCCATCCAAAAACACCTGCATAGATCCTCGTAACCTAGCGGACTTTCGTACTCACTCCCTGCCTGCCAAACAGGGAGAGGAAAACAAAAGAACAAGGCTCCACAGGCGGCGATCCTCCATATACAACACACACCTTTTTCTCGCCTTCCATCACCCAAAATCAAGACTCGTCCACTTAAAACGACGCGCGCGCCCGCCAGCGCGAGCGGGCTCGCGGCACCCGAGCCCCACGCCCCCACCGGGAACGCGTCGCCGCCCCGGAGCTCGCAATCGCACCTGGAGCCTCTTCAAGTCGAAGGTGGACTGCACAACAGCCGGTAGCCAAAGACGGTAGCCGCCACAGCGGGGGCGGCTAAGGTTGACACCAAGAAAACCACCGATCTCCACAGGGAAAACCGAACTGTATGGGACCCTTCCCTACAGGTCAAGGACATCATTTGACTGGGTTCAGTCATGCAAAACCAGTATTCTATGAGGTTAAGGACCAGGTTTAACTTGGCCCTTGGACTTGCAGGGCTTCTTTCATGGTTTTTGGGGCGTTGGCGTG